GGTGAGGAGGTGGTTGGGCAGGGAGGGAGGCAGGGGCAGGGGTGGGGCGACGCGAGGTGCAGAAGGGGGGGTCAGCGGGGATGCGGCGGCACTCTGCCGGCACGCCTGCCTCGCCGGCTGCCCCGGCTGGCCAGCCGCGCCTGCAGGTATGGCCCCCTTGCCAGCACAGCAGCACAGCGAGGTGGGCCCAGCCAGCCGGCCGCACAGCCCACCTGGCACCGGCCTCGGCTTGCTGCCCGCACCTCTCAGCCACCTGCACGCAGCACGCTGCCACCGACTCATGCCAGGGCTTTGTTAGGCCCTAAATGCGCGGCCCCAGCATGCCAGCGCGTCAGCCGAGGGAGGCAGGCCGCCACGGGGGGCGCGGGTGCCGCCGCCGGCTCCCCGTCCCGCCAGCAGCACCACACACACACACACATAAATGTGTTATGCAGACGCCAACTCCACTCACACGTGTCGGGGATCCCAACAGCACAACAGTTAAAACAAACAGCAGCAGCACCACCACCGCCCAGCCAGGCAGGCAGCCCAACCCACCACACCACCAAACACGCCCACCGGTGCCACAGAGCAGCAGCGCCACCGCACAGCCAGGCAGCCCACCCACCAGGCCACCACCTCCTTCTTCTCCCGCTCCTCCAGGCGGTGCTTGGAAGGGTAGGCGACGCGGGGCTTGATGGTGAGGGAGGGCAGGTTGCAGTACAGCTGCGGTACATGGTCAGCGGCACATGGTGGGCGGTATAGCGTGAGCGGTACAGCGTGAGCGGTGCATTGTGAGCGGGACATGGTGCAGCATGGTGCAGCACATGTGCAGCGGCAGCGGTACAGGGACGCCCGGGGTGGGTGGCCAAGGCGCAAGGGGAGCCTGCCCGAGCTGCGGCGGCAGCCCCAGCCACACACGCCCGCACGCCGTTCCGCCGCCGCGGCGTGGGACGGCCAGGGGCGGCGGGGCAGGCGCAACAGACCGCAGGCGCTCCCGCAGCAGGCCCTCCCAACAGCCTGTGCTGCAAGCATGTTCCTGCTGAAACCAGGCTGCCAGCCCACACGAGCAACCCACCCTCAGCACCCTCAGCTGCGTGGGCCCTCCCGCAGGCAGGCCCTGCCCCCCGTGCGCCCACCCTCAGCTGAAGCTCCCCCAGCACACCCTGCCGCTCACCCACCCACCCACCCACCCTCAGCTGCGCGGCCGAGGAGTTGAAGGTGACGTAATCCAGCCGCTCGTCCCGCTTGCCGCCGCTGCAGGCAGGCAGGGCAGGTGGGCAGGCAGGCAGGCGGGCAGGTAGGCAGGCGGGCGGGCAGGGCGGGCGGGCGGGCGGGGAGGGCAGGTTGGGACAGGGCAAGGGAGGCAAGCAGGGCGGCAGCTCATCAGGCGGTACATCAGGCCCTGTACCTGTACCACACGTGCGGCATGTTGCGCAGGCGCAGCAGGTTTTCCTCCAGCGGCGCGTGCAGCATGGCGAGCGCGGTGACGGCGGGGGTGGAGAAGGCGATGTAGGGGGCAAAGGTGCCGCCTTCTGCGGTACAAGGGGACAAGGGCGGGAGAGGGAGGGGTGAGGGGCGAGGCAAGGGAGGGGCCGTGCAATGGAGCGCGGCTAAGAAAGGCCTTCTTTGAAGGCGCTGGAGCTAGTGTCTAAACCCTCCGAGAGGGCACAGGTTCGATTCCTCCCATGTCGAAACTTTGTGAGGACAAACGCGGCATAGCTGACCGGCTCAGCGCCAATCCAAGCCAATTCCTTCGGGAACGCCTAATAGAATCGCCAAGGCTTCGGCACAGGCCTCCCCGGGACCCATTCACTACTAGTGGGGGGTACTGCACTTGGCGCGTCGGGCAGATCAAATAATGGTCTAAAGCTAGACGTTAAAACCGGGAAGTTAAGCCTGTGGAGGCTCTTCCCTACCTTTACCTTTTAATGGAAGGCTGGGCTGGAGGAGGCGGGGTGGGGCCGGCCAAGCAAGGCAAGGAGGTGGCACCCTCTACGCCTTGCACCGCCTGGCGGGACGCAGGGCAGCCAGCTAAGCCTGCCGTGGCGGCACTGCGTCCCGCCGCGGAAGCCTGTCGCCACGCCCCACCCCCGACGCCAGCAGCCTCCAAGCCCTCCACAACCCGCCACCTCCCAAGTCCTCCGGACCTCCCAAGCCCACCTCCGAACCCGGCCACCAGCAGGCGCTGCGCGTCCAGCGACACGCCGGGCAGCGCCAGCGCCTCGGCCAGGCAGGCGACCACGTGGGCCGGATCCTCGCCGGCGGCCCCAAACTTGGGGAACCAGTACCACGGTACCTGCGGACAGGTCGGGGCGGCGGAGGCAGCGCGGAGCTGGTCGGAGCCGTTGCGAAATAAGTTGCCCGATAGGAGCGAGATGTCGTCACACACGTTCACATCAACTGGTGCACGGCGAACTGCCACAGCAGAGGGAACAGCCCCGTGCTCACTGCTGACCGCCAGCCACACACCGCCCCGCGCTGCAGCCGCGGCGTGCGCTGGAGCCCGGCGCCGCCATGGCGACGCGCAGGGCTGCTGCCGGCTGCCGCATGCACGCCCGCCCCCAGCCGCCCCCAGCCCAGTCCCGCCATCTCCCCAGCACCCACCTTAGGACCAGCCCCAGGGCTAGCGCAGCCCCGTGCTACACCCTGCCAGGCCCTAGCACCAACCTCTCTCTCCCTCTCAGTGCCTGGGTTTGGCCCTAGCACCCACAGAAGCCCAGTGCCACACCGCTGCCAGCACCCAGCACCCACCTAACACTAGCCCAGTGCCACACCCCGCCACCCCAACAGGCCCTAGCGCCCAGCACCCAGCACCACCAGCACCCACCTTAGAATCCGGCGCCACTATGGCAAAGCGCTGCGCCTGCGCCAGCTGGCGGAACGCCTGCACCATGTCCCGCCCGGTACCGCCGCCGTCGTGCAGCAGCACCGCCACCGGAACTGGCCGCTCCCGGTACCTGCGGTGGTGTGGTGTGGTGTGGTGTGGTGTGGTGCGGTGTGGTGCGGTGTGGCAGTGGTGGCGCGGCAAAAGCAGGGCGGCGGGGGGTGGCTGGGAGGCGCGGGCGGTAACGGCGAGCACCGGCGCGGCAAGCAGGGCCGCCATTGCAGCACACGCCCGCAGTATCCGACTGGAGGCGTGCACAGCCAGCAGCTGCCGCCCCAGCGGGCAGCGCGCGCCCCCCCTTCCTGCATATATCGGCTGCCCCCCTCTCCATGCTCACCTGGGCGGCAGGTAGTAGGAGGCTGAGCGGCCGTGGGACACGCTGCAAGCCAGCTTGCCCTCCTTTCCACCTGGGAGGCACGGAGATATGCAGGTGGTGGTGTGAGTGGTGGTGGCGTTCAGGTGGCGGGGTGTGAGGGTGTGTGTGGAGAGGGGG